CCCATCAGAGCCCCACATCCCGCGGTTTCCCTTTGCAGTGTAGATGCTTGTCAGTTTCTTGCGTATGTTTTGGTAAATACAAACGTGTGTGTCTGTTGAGGTATGTCCTGGTTGCCCTTTGTAGATGGAAGAATGGAGGCTTAGGTTGGAGTTGGCAAGTCAAAAGAGTTCAATAATAGCTAACACTTTTGCTCGCACGCCTGTCTGGCCCCTTTCAGAATGCCTGCAGTTCAGCTAAATTGTTTGAGCCCTCACAGCAGCCCCGTGCGGGTCGACGCTGCTGTCGTGCTCACACTGCAGAAAAGGGAACAGCCTGCCCCAACAAGGAAGGGGCAGGATGTGGGCTGATGGAGAGGCTTCTCCACAAGACACTCAGTGGACATTTACTTAGCGGCACCCGTACTTGTCAGAGTCTCACGCTTTACCTTCCCAAGGTTCTGAGATCTAGTAGTTGCCACTGAAAACCTAGCAGGCAGGACCGGGTGGCTCACGTGTGGACGGAGGGCCTCCAGCTGGATGCAGAAGGACAGGTAGATTTAGTTTTTAAGCTCATAGTGAAACGTTCAAGTAATACACACGTACAGGGGTGAAAAGATCCCTCCCTCCCCGCTGCCTCATAGGGCCTGGCAGCTCAACGTCGGCCACGTAGCGGGAGCAGCTGACTTCCTAGCTAAACGCAGGATTTTGGGGAGAAATGTGAGATGCTTTTTGGATATGTTAGCTGTATCCACTTTCATACATACCTCCCAGAGCTCACTCTTGGCATAGTTTGACAGTGAGTCTTCCCAGACTGTCAGGTTTAAGCCCAGACCATACGACTTGCTATGCGACCTTGGGCAAGAGACCTTTTTGTGCCTCCGTTGCCCCATGTATGAAACGGGGTAATCGCAGTACACCGCTCTGTTAATGTGGGGGTCGAACGAATACATTCTTTGAGGAGAGGTTGCTCCGTGTTAGCTGCTATTATGCATAACTTTCTCTGCAAATTGCCTTTTCTCACTGTGTCTTGGAGATCCTTGTCAGTGCATTGGACATTGAATTCCAAAACCACAGATGAACCCGTAAGCTGTTAGATCAGTCTGCTGTTGAGTGACATTGAGCTGGTTCCCTTTGCACACCCTTGGGAAAGACACCCCAAAGTCTGAGGTCACGGTTATGTACAGAGTGTATAAATGCACTTGATGTTGCTTCCTTCCAAAAGACTGGCGTGGTAGCGTTTTTACATATCCTTTGTTGTTTGGATAGATAATAGGTGGGCATAGTGCAGAATTGAGAGGTATACAAAGACATGCAGTCGTAGTTTTTAAGGATGGAAGACGCAACATGAACAATGAAAAGTAAATCTCTCCCTTCCAGAAGCAACCATTGCAGAGTGGAATTACTGGAGGCGGCTGAGGAGTGCCGGTCAAATTGGGATTAGTTTGCTGGGGGGCGGGGGGGGCACGGTTTGCCAGGGGCAGAGGTTCAGCTCTGGACCTCGTTTGCCAGGTGCTCTGAGCATCTGCTTTGCTAAGCCAGGGAGCCACTCAGCATCTTGGTTCCAAGAGAGAAGGCCAGCAGAGATGACTTTACGTGTTTCCTTTCCCCCTGGAAGAACTAATCCTTCTCTTCTTTTATCAGAGTCCTGTGGACTTTGCAAATAAAATATGGCCGTCACTGAATTGGACTGTCCCCGGGTCTCTGGCTCTTTCCATCTACCCTGTGTAGCAGAGTAGGGTTCTCCACTTTCAACCCTAAAAAATAATAGGTTTAGGGACACCTGGGTGGCTCAATGGGTTAAGCCTCTGCCTTCGGCTCAGGTCATGATCCTCAGGGTCCTGGGATCAAGTCCCACATTGGGCTCTCTGCTCGGTGGGGAGCCTAAAAAAATATACTAGGTTTAGGTCTATCAAAATACAGAAGCTCTGTTTCTGGTGTGGTGGAGTAAATTTCTAACAGACGACCATCCCCACCCCTCCGCAAATAAACTATATATTCTAGACAAAATGCCAAAAACAAAAAAACCCGAAAAAACCCGAAACTACTGGAAGGCTGTGGAGAGTGCTCGAAAGCAGGTGGATTCTGGGGAGAGGGTGAGTTGAAAGTTGCAAGAAGAGCTCACCACAGGGTGAGTTTTCTGGTGTGTGTTCATTTCTGGTGTGTGCACCCCGAGGGCAGGCTGCGGTCCTGGCATAGCCGGGCAGCCAAGACTCAGGTAGAAAACCAGCTGTCTTCCTGGCCTGAAGAACCAGAGGACAGAGCCTAGAGGAACCACAGCAACTGGAAAGGAGAGTGCCAGGGAGGTTCCCTTCCCCCAAGTGACCTGTATAAATTCAGCCCAAGTCTCTTGCTGACCACCAGGCTGTGGATCTGTGGGGCCGACTCCGAGCAGGGCTGAAGCGATCCAGATTTACACCATCACCCCCTACGGTAAGCTGAGTCTAGCAAGTACAAATATCCCTACAGCAAGACCTTTCACATTTCTTTGGAGGAATATAACAGAATCCAGAACGTCTACAACATTAACATACATCTGGACACAAGGCAGAATTACCTAATACACATAGAATTAGGGAAACGTGACTCATTCTCAAGGGAAGAGACAAGATGACCAAGAGAACCCAAGTGTTAGGGTTCTCAGTGGGTAGAGCATGCGACTCCCGATCTCGGATCGTGAGTTCAAGCCCCATGTTGGGCGTGGAGCCTACGTTAACAACAACAACAAAAAACCAAGTGCCGGAGTTAGCAGGCAAGGCCTCTAAAGCAGTTATTACAACTGTGCTTATTGAGGTAAAAGTGTAATGTTGAAAAATAGGAAATCTCAGCAGAGAAATAGAAAAATGTTAAAGAACAAAATGGATGCTCTGACACTGACGATAAAGATCCACTGGTAGACCTGATAGAATGGGGATGAGAGACTCCCTGCGCGGGAAATATATTAATGGGAATTATCCAGTCTCAAAAAGAGACAAAGATTTTTCAAATAAAGTCTTGAAAGCAGCTGACAGAAACAACACATTACAAGCAGGGCAACCATGATTCAAGAAAACGACCCCAGAATTTTATAACCAGTGAAAACAAGTATTTTCAGATAAAAGAAGACTAAGAGAATTTGTCACTGGCGGAAAGACGCTACACAAAATGCTAACGGGAGTTCTTCAGGTGTTCGGGACATTATCCCAGGAGAAACTTGGAACTCAGGCTGATTGCTTGGAACTCAGGAAAGATTGCTAAAGACTATCTAGCTGCTTCGTTTCTTTAAAATGTATATGATTTTAAAGCAAAAGTTATGGGTTGCCTGGGTGGCTCAGTCAGTTAAGTGTCTGCCTTCAGCTCAGGTCATGATCTCAGGGTCCTGGGATCGAGCCCCGCATCAGGCTCTCTGCTCAGCAGGGAGCCTGCTTCCCCTGTCTCTCTGCCTGCCTCTGCCCACTTGTGATCTCTATCATATAAATAAATAAAATCTTAAAAAAAAGTTATGGACGCCTGGGTGGCTTAGCCGCTGCCTTCCACTCGGGTCATGATCCCAGAGTCCTGGGATCGAGTCCCACATCGGGCTCCTTGTTCAGTGGGGCGCCTGCTTCTCTCTCTGCCTGCTTGTGCTCGCTTGCTCTCTCTGACAAATAAATAAATAAAATCTTAAAAAAAAAAAAAGTTATGCCATTGCCATGAGGGGTTTGTGAGTGGAGATGTAAGCCGTGTGACAACGACAGCACAAAACAGTGGGAGGAGTGGCAAGGACTTGTGGCCTGAACGGTGGCGGATTCCGCTGGAAGTGAAATGACACCCTACAGACTCCAGACAGACCGAGAAAGAGCGCACCTGCGGGCGTCGTCCCAGAGCAGTACCAGAGACCGAACTGCGGAGAGCGAAATCTCAAAAAGAACTGGAAAAAGGTATTCAAATAATCCAGGAGAAGGCAGGAGAGCGGAAACCGGAACGAAAAGGGAAAACTAATAAAATCGATAGACCTAACTCCACCATCTAAGTGATTCCACGAACTGTTCCTGGAAAGGGGAAGCCCTAGGTTGCCCACGTGGGAAGCATTCTTTGCCCAGGAGCAGCCAGACAGACGGCTGGGGGTGAACGCCCCTACCCTTGGCCTCTGTGCACGGAAAATACAGAGAATAATATAGTAACACCCAGGTACTCGCCACCATTTTGCCACCCGCTTTTTTTTTCTTCTCCCTGTTACTTGTTATTTATGGGTAGAGTTCTAGTTCATTCCGGCTACCCCCTGTCGATTATTCTGTTGCATGCCTAGAGCAGACTTGAGACCCTTTCAACTGCTGCTGGAGACGTAGAGTTGTTTTCTCGAGTTGCCAACCTTTGGACACTCGTGCCCATGTCTTTCTAAGGGAGAGTGCCCAGGAAGCCGGTTGCTGGCACAGATAATGCCCACCGCCTGCTTGACGAGCTTTTGCCAGATTCCTTTCCAAAGTGATCTTGCCCGCTTACCCCGATCCTTTAGAAGGGTCATAGCTTGAGGTGCTCTCCGTCCGGGAGGGTGGCGTCAAGGGCAGCCTGATGGCTGACACGTGCCCCAGGACTCCTGCTGGTGCTTCTTTAGAAGTTCTAGGTCATTCATTCATTCCCCAAACATGGAGCTTCCGGGATGTTCTTTATCCAGCGGGGATAAAGTGACGATAAAGCACCAGAGAAACCCACCCCCTGCCTTCGGAGGCCCTGGCTGACTCCACTAGTCGGGCGTGGGACTCTTGGCCTCAGGCTTGCAAGTTCGAAACCCACGTGGGGTGCGGAGATGACTCGAACTCTTAAACAAGACAAAACGAAACTCCGCTCTTCTAGGGCTTTGCTTTTACGGGGAGTTGCATAGGGATGCATGGAGGCCGGGTGTATACAGTGGCGCCCATGCTCCTCAGCCTCCCGTTGGATACAGCTGGAGAGCCTGATGGGCTCTGTGGGTGGACTGCCTCTCCCACCTCCCACCTCGTCCCAGAGAGGGGTCACGGAGGCTTGGACCAGACCACGCCGTGGGGAAAGAAAGCAGAAAGAGTATCCACTGTTCCAATCTGATTTTATTGAAAAGGAAACATACAAAAATCATGTACAAAAAAAATTAACCAAACATGTACAGAAAATTCATTCCGGTATCTACAGCAGCGCATATACAGTATTTTACAGGCTGGGCCATCCCTCCCCGCTCCCAGACTCCTCCCTCTTCTGCGATTTCCCCCCCTCCCTGACTCCCCGTCTTCCCCCCAGCGCTTCGCCCTGGGGACTAAGGCTGGGGCGGTTTCCGCCAAAATATCCCACCCCCCAAATGAATGCCAGTGGTCACACGTGCTCTCTCTAAACCTATGCAATGGGATTGATGGGGGCGGGGGGTGGTCACGGGCAGAGCACAGGATTCACAGTCTGGGCCCCTCCTGGCCACCCCCAGATGAAGGTGAGGCAGGCATGCCCACCACCCGCCGGCTGGCGCAGGGAAGATGGCTGGGCGCTGGGCTGGGGCAGCCATCAGACCCACCCCATTCTCTGGCTCCAGGAGGCTAGTGGTCACGTTTGGCTCATTTGCTCTTCACGGGCCCCCTCCCCAGGAGGAGGGGGGGAAGCACCAGGGGCCTGAGGCTAGGCCCAAAGTGAAGGAGCACTGGGAGGGAGGTTCCCCCCCGCCCCCAGTGTCACCCCTGCAGCTGGAACGGGCAGCCAGCACCAGCAGCCTTTCCTGAGATGGTGGTGGGCGGCAGAGGCGGGTGGCTCCGTCCCCACCCTCTCCGTCACCGCTGCCTTCAGACGCTGAGTCCGTCAGCCCTCTCTCCCCTGGCTTCCCAGCCAGGGACCCAGGAGTCCACATCTCCATCAGTGTCCCCAGGCTAGGCCGGGACTGGGGCTGGAGTGGCGGCCCTGGCCCGCCCCTGGGACAGGCAGGGCTGGTAGTCCAGTATGCTACATGGTGCAGAAAAAGTCCCCCGCGCTGGCCAGGGCATCAGGAGGTGGGAGGGTCCTGCCCCCCAAGTCCCTGACGTCCACCGGGCGGGTGCAGGCACCTAATTGGGCTCCATCTCTGGGGCTCCACGGCCCCTGGGTAAGGGCAGGAGTCCCATGATGAGATTGTACAGGACCCTCCAGGGGGAGGGGCGGTGTCGCTGCTGCTCCTCTTGTCTCTAGGGAGAGGGAAAAGAGGAAGTTAGAGTGGGCTTCCGACAGGGGGACAGGGGCGTGTGGGTGATTGGGCCCAAAGGCCAGGATGAGGGAGGCAGTTTCCTAAGGGTGAGCTACCAGCCCTCAGCGGTGGGCCCTACCATTGCTGACTGGGTCCATATCCCCGCTCCTCCCCCCACCAGGGTCCAAGTCAGTCACCTCAAGGGAGGACAGCGTCCTCCTCTAGAACAGAATAGGATGGACGGCAAGGTCGCAGACCCAGTGTCCTCAGCACAGTGCATGAGCCCAGCAAGTGCTCCCCTAGTCTCTGGACCAAAATCAGCCAGGGCTGGGGGGTGGCAGGATTGGGGGGCGGCTGGATGGCAGACTGTCCTGCCCTCCCCTCAAAGGTTGGGAAGTGACAGAGAAGGGAGCAGGGAGCCTATAGTCTCAGTGATTCTAGAACGATCTGTGGAAGGACAAGCCCTGGGAACAACAGTTCACCTTCTGTGCTGAGGCTGCACGGAAATCTGTGCAGACAAAGCTAACCCCTGCCCTCTTTTCAGCAACGGGATGAAGGCTTGCGGTGGCCTCTAGAACCCTCTCAGTTCCACATTGCTAGGCAAGTGAGAAAGAAGGAAGCCACATGGAAGAAAAGACTCCCACCCCCCGCCCCCCGCCCCCCGCCCAGTACAAAGGAAAGGTAAGCTGTAGCTCTCTCCCATTCCCTATCCTGAGTGCAGGGCCAGGCCCACTGCTAACAGGCAGAGCCCCCCTGGTCTCATCCCCCTGAAAGGATGGGAAGCTCCTCCGACTGATGAGAACAAAGTCAGATAAACCATCCTTATGACCCTAGTGGGTGCCAGGCTGTGGGACGCCCTGTACCAATCCCCACCCTCTCCTTACTCCCCACCAACTCTCGAAGCTGGGAGGTAGCAAAGGGGGCATGTCAGAATGGCATCAGCTGGAAAGCCTGACAATGTTTCACTGCTTTGGGGTGCTGCCCAGCACAGTCATCTCTGGGAGCAATTAGCAATCACCGGGTAAAGCCCAGCAGCCACGTCTGTACTGTGGGGTACACACAAGTGCACCGAAAATGTGTATCCTCAGGAAGAAACCAAAACCAACCAAACAAAAAAACAAGCCAATGAAATTTGAAGCATTTTTTTTTTAAATCCTAAATATCCACCAATGAGAAAATGAACAAGGATACTGTATGTTGATCCAACAGAACGCTACAGAAACAGCGAAAACGCTTTGCCCACACGGATCAGTCTCAAAGCTAATACAGGAGGGGAAAAGTTTGGAGAGAAACACATCATATCTCGTATATGAAGCCCAAAAACATCCCGCCAACCTAAGCATTGTTTGTGGCCTGATCACTAGTCTGTAGCGGGATCAACACCTGCGGAGTCATGGGACACGCCAACTTGAGAGGTTTCCTTTGGAAAGGAGAAGAGGGTGGGGGGGGGGAGCGAGGGGCTTGACAACATCCGGGTTTTGTTTTTCTTTCAGTAAGCAAGCAGCGCGGGTGTAATGTTCAGATTGGACAGAGCTGGGTGCTCGGCGCCCTGATATTTGTTATTCTCTGTTCTACGCCATAAGCTCCCAAGATTTTGTCTTAATCAGAGGCCGAGCCGCGGGCTTGGGGGCGGGGCCTCCAGCGGGGGCGGGGCTCCACGGCCCGCCCCGCCCCGGGCCGCCCGGGAAGCTGTGTGGCGCGCTGCCGTCCGCGCGCGCCGGCGGGTGGGAGGGGCGGGCGCGGCCGCGCCGCCGCTGCTGACTCACCGGCTATAAATAGCCCGGGATATATGAGCCGCTCCGCCGAGCGCCGCCCTCAGTCCCCGCGGCCGCGGGCCGCGGGCGCGCAGCGGCGCTCGAGGAGGTCCCGGCCCTGGCCTGTGCCAGCCGCCGCGGCGCGGGCCCTTCGGCAGGTCCGCGGGCCCGCCGCCCCTCCCACCTGCCTGTCCCCAGCGCGACCCCGCCGCGCCGGGCAGCAGCTGCCGCACATCTGGCGGGGCTCGCCCGCAGCCCCCTCCGGGGCGGGAAGTCCCACCTGCCGTCTACCCCGCCCCCAGCACTCACCCGCCGCTCGTACAGCGCGTTGAGGTCGTCCGCCATCCTCCGCAGCTGGGCCCCGATCTCCCGGGCCCACTGCTCCTCCTCCCCCCGGACTCCCGGGGCTGCCTGGGTGGGGCCGCCCGCCAGGGCCCCCGGGGCACTGGGCACCGGCGATTCCAGGTGCGGCTCCGCCGGCGAGAGTGAGGGCTGAGGACCTGGGAAAAGCCGGGGAGGGGGGGGCGTGGTCAGCACCCACCACCTCTGTCGGGCCTGAGGCGGCCCCGAGGGACCAATTAGCCAGGGCCCGCTTCTCCCTTTTCCAGCCTCCCAATTTCCTTTCTGCTCCCCGCCTCATTTCTAGCGATTCTGTTTTTCCCTTCCAAAAGCCAGGTTTCTCAGCTTCCGCTCCCCAGGCGCCAGAAAGCAAGAGGATGTCCTGGGGAGGCCTCTCTCGGGGTTACCTGGCTAGCCAGCTTACCCCCCTCCCCCACTGCCCGTGTTAGTCTGGAAGTCTCCCTCTTATCCGACCCAACTATTCCAAAACGGGACCAAATTTTGCCTGTTCCACTTAACAGATGGGGAAACTGAGGCCCACCCTAAGAAGTGGCCCAAGGTCACATAGGGATACGGCGACTGACTACACGCAGTCACAAGCCTCAGGTCTCCTGCCCTCTGGTGTCCAACCACAGCGAAGCCACACCCCCGGATGTGGCAGGGGCACGGAGACCAGAAGGCCAGACTGGCTGCCTCCGAGCGAGCCCGGGCCTGGGGGGCTGGGATTCGGGATATGCCTTCCTGCCCCACCCGTTCTGGGCCGCCCCGCAGTATCTGCCTCCCTCCAGAGCCACACCAGGTCCTGGCGAGGGGGATCCTCAGGCCTAAAATGGGGGCCTCAGTTTCCACAGCTGTGCCTGTGGTCTTGAAATCGGGTCCCCTCTTGCCTCTGCTGCTGGGGAGCCCAGCCGGGGAAGTTTTCTCTCCCCTGATCTCCCCGGGCTCCAGGGACAGGGTGAGGGGTTGGGGTGGAGAGGGAAAGCGGACGATCTTCCCTGCCACTGAGCGTGTAGGCCGGGATGGGGCTGGCAGGGCACCAGAGGGTTAACAGCCCATCCGGCAGGGGACCTTTAACCCTTCCCTCCCCAAGACTCACTTTCCCACTCTGGCCTCCCCCACCCCCACTTTCCCCACACAATGGCCCCTCCCCCTCTCCTTCCTCCTCCCGGACTGCGGAGAGGGCGGCCCTGGCCAGAGATTCAGATAAAGGCAAAAGGCCACCCCCCCAACCCCCAAGTCCCGAAGTGACAGTCCTCTCGCTCTGCCCACACTCCCTCCAACTATCGTCCTCGGAGAGGTTAAGGAGACCCAGACTCGGGGAGGTGGGGGCTGGGAAACAGCTGCTGCCCCGGCCCGGAAAAGGCCGTGGGCTGCAACTCGGGGACTGCAGTCAGATTCCAGGAGGGACTTCCCACCCCGCCTCCCCCCACCCCCAGCCTCCCACTCAGTCTTCCTGCTTCCTGCAACACAAAGACCACACTGGCCACACCCTCCCTGTGGCCCGGCCGGCTCGCCACCTCCTCCCCCACCCCCCCCGGCTCGCTCCCACTTCTCCAGTTCCTCAATGTCTCTTTCCTAGCTCCCCGCATCCCGGGGCGCCCGTGTGGGGCGGCACTCACCGTCGGGGCGCGGGCCTCGGGGCCGGCTGCGGGGACCCCCAGGCCAGCGGGGGCCCCCCCAGGGCGGCGGTGACGGCGGGAGGGGCGGTGGGGGCGCAGAGGTAGGCGGCGGGCAGCAGGGCGGGAGCGGCGGGGGCGGCGGGCAGGCCGGGCTCGCAGAGGCCACAGGACACGGCCGAGGGCACCAGGCGGCTGAGGGGAAAGGGGCGCGGGCCGTCGCGGGACAGGCCCTCTACGGGCTCCGGGGAGCTGCCCTCCTGGCGTGCTCGGGCCATGGCGCTCCCTGGGGCCTGCAGGACAGGGGGAGAGGGGTGCGGTCAGGTAGGCAGTGCAGGGGGCACACAGGACACCCCCACTCACTCCTGCACACAGCCACCAGCACCTTTGGGGGGCAGGGGTCCAGGGAAGGTCTCCCAACACACAGGGCCCAGACGGGGCACTGTAGGCAGCTGCGATGGCCCCACAGGACAGATGGCCACCAAGGAGGGTCTGTCGCAGGGCCCCCCCCAGGTGGGGACCGCCTCCCATGCACGTGGTGATGGTGCCCACGACGGTCAAGGAGGCACAGGACAGCTCTCACAGCAAGTCCAAGGGCTCACACAGAACCCAGATGGAGGAGTCTGTCAGGTGTGTGTGTGTGTGTGTGTGTGTGCACACGCACGTGTGTGCAGGAGGGGAGACAGCCTCAGAACACAAACTCACCCAGCCTGGGAGTCACCCAGAGCATGGGCTGGTGGGGCTGACTTCCGGAACACGGTGATGGCCATGCACATGGACTCATGCAGGACCTCAATGGCAAATACTACTTCCGGCAGGGGTGGGGAAGGTGGTGAAGGGTACACGCCACACAGGTAAGGGTTCCCTTGGGACTGGCCAGCCTGACCTCCCACCTCATCTCCCATTGGCACAGAAATGGTTCCCATCTCTGGGATTGCTACCCAGTACAGGACACACATATGCACACACACACACACCCTGACCAAAACGTGGACACACACATACACACAGACCATCAGAATGCAGACCGGCTGCCACATCCCAGCCCCTCCATCCCTGTGCACACACATACACAAACTGTCAGAACTCACTGACCCACTGTGGATATGCGTGTGGACACACACGGACAATGCAGCCATCGCAAACACAGAGACACACCACACAGGCACTGTCCCCCTTCTCAGACACATGCCCCTCCCCCCACACACATACACACACCCACGAGGTCAGACCTGCACACCTCAGGGCTTACACAAATACCAACACCCCACGGACATCCGTGGACATACACAGAGACCAACACACCCGAAACATGCCCCCCCCGCCATTGCCAACTCTCAGATCCCGGGACGCATGGAAATGAGGCACACACACACTCCGGTCATCAGAGTGTGATGCATCAGCACACACGCTGAAGAGCAGACCTCAGCTAACCCTCCACCACCAACCTCCAAACACCATCCCCAACTGTCAGCCTCGGACACACATGCACACGCACACACCCCAGCCAACTCTAATCCCACACAGCCGTGGCAGCGCGCACACCTCAGGCACCCACAGAAAACACTGGTCTCACGTGACCAACATAAACACTCCACACACGCAGCCCACATGACACACATGAGCCAGCCGATCACAGAGACAAGCCCCTCAGACCCAACACACACACACACACACACACAAGACACACAGACAGGCTCAGACACAGCCCCGGACTGCCAGTAACACCCGCTGACAGCACCACACAGACCCCACCGAGTCCTCAATTTCCAGACCCGGATGCCAGACACACAAGCCAAACACAGACAGAGACAACCCCCCCCACCACACACACACACACACGCGCGCGCGCGCGCGTGCTCACGCACCTGGACAGAAAACAGCCACTGCGCTCAGCAGGCACACCATCACAAACGCTTAGCTGAGACACATGCCCTAGAGATCAACACAGACAGTACACACAGTCAAAACACACAAGCACACACAAACAGCACATCGGGCAAGACACGCGCACACAAACCCTCACACCCAGCTCACTCAAGCAACACACAAACACCCCAGCCACGTACTGTAGCTCACGCAGTCAACACAGACCCAGAGAATCAGCCCCAAACAGCGCCCACTGACAACTCTCACAGAGCACACAACACACACACACATACACACACACGCAGGTACACCACGCATAAACAGCACCCAGCCCTCGGGCACGGCATACACAGACCATCACACAAACACTCATGGGGAGACTCAAGCACACACCCCGACGGGCCACAGCCCCAACATTCCCCCGGACTGACACCTCCACCCCCTGCGGACCCCAGTACTAACTCGGAGCCAGACACATGCACACACCCAGGCGAGACACCTGCAGATCCACAACCCCGCACACGCGCGCTCCCACGGCGGGCCCAGACGCCCCCCTCTGCTGTCACAGCACACCCCCCCCACCCCGCCGCCGCCACGTGCGCCCGCCCCGCCCGCCAGGCGAGCGAGGGGCCAATAACCGGCTGTTGCTGGGGCGCAGCCCCCGCCCGCAGGAGCTGCAGACTCCACGGCCTGCGAGCCGCCCCCCCCGTCGCCGCCCCCAGCGGGCGCGCGCCTGGGGTGTGGCCGCCTCTACAACCCCCCCCCCCCCCCCCCCGCGCGCCCCTCCCGGACTGCGGGGGCCGGGGCAGTCGGGGTCGACTCACTTCCCCGGGCCCGCACTGGCCGCCAGGGGGCGCTGCCGAGCCCGCACCCCATTGTTTGTAAACAAACCCGCCGGACCGCTGAGGCACCTGCGCTCCCGGACCCTTAGTGCCTCCGGCCCAGCGACCCCAACCCAGGGTCGTTCGTGGGATGGAGGGTGGGGAGAGAGGGAGGCACGGGGTGGGGATGCAGCGCGCTCCCACTGCTCTCCCAGCGCACTCCTGCCACCTCCTCCAGGGAGCCCACCCGGCCTGGCCAGTCGCGGCCCGCGGGGACTCGGGTGCGCACACTCACCCCGGGGGCATGAACACGCCGGAGGGGGCGGTGATGGGGGGCGGGCGGCTTCCTTCGAGAGGGCGCGCCCGCCTAGCGCCGCTCGCTGCGGCGGCTGCTGCTGCTGCGGCGGCTGCTACTGCTGCTCTAACTGCAGTGGCGGCTGCTGTGGCTGTGGCTGCTGCTGCTCCCGCTCGGGCTGTAGGCGCGTCCGCGTCGTGGCCCCCGCTGCCGAGTCTGCCGCTGCCGCCGTTGCTGCCGCCGCCGCCACCAGGCGCCCGCTCGCATGTGGCTCGCGCCGCGTCTCAGGCCGCCCGGCGGATCCCCTGCCCGCTCGGCGGCCGCCCCGCCCCGCCCCGCCCCCGCCCGGCAGGTCCCACGCCCCGCCCCCTCGTGACGCCACGGCCCCGCCCGCCCACCCGCCCGCGGCGGACAAGTCGGGACTTGCAGGCGCGCGCCGCGCCCCCCTACCTCCGCGCGCGGGGGTTTCCCTGCAGTCGGGGGCGGGGCAGGGCCTGGCCCGCGGCGAGGAGGACCGAGGCGTAGCGACCGGGGCCGCTCGGCCGGCGGGACAGCCGGACACACGCGCTGACACACTGACACACTGACTGGGACCCGCAGACACACGCGCCCAGAGACGCGTACTCCGACTGACCGGCTGGCGCTCCAGGGTACACAAAGTCACGTGCTGACAGGGCCACGGCGACGAGCCACTCGCAGGCGCACGGCCACACTTGCACAAATGCACCCCCTGGACCGGGGAGCGGATATGCCGGCTCCCACGCTGACTGGGGCGCACAGTCTCGCACCCAGACACAATCAAAGAGACCGTCTAGCTGACAGGGTCCCTGGGACACGCGGACGGACACAAGGAAGGGGGGCTGTGTTGCACAAACGCCCACACTGATAAGCACAGGGAACCCACAAACTGTGTTCACCAACATTGCCACGGAACGGGCACCCCCAGCACACACACGCAGTCACCGCTGAGGCTGAGCGCTTCTCAGGAAACACACGCTTCCTGATAGGCGCAGGTGGACACGCGCGCACACACACGCACACACCTGTCACAGGGACACCTGAACACAGAGCTTGATCTAGGTGACGCTCCTACAGGGACACACACAAACGCAGCCACACCAGTTCACAACTGACCCATTACAGCTGTCAGTAACTGACCTCAGGGATACAGATCAAGTCAGACACAAACAAAAACGGACCCCCAGAACAGTCCCGAAGCACACCTGTCACAGGTTCCTGGTAACTGGCCCACTGCCGGGGACACTCTCTGGAGCAGGCACACCTGGCCACACTTGCCACAAATCTGGCTGGCAGGGGACTCAGGGCAAGAAGGAAACCCCTAGCACCAGATGGGACATGCCCGGGCAGGCTGCCCCTGCGGGACGTGCTAGCACCCTGCCTCCTGGCTTTCACTTCCCTTTCTCAGTTACTCCTTGCTGGTCTCTCCTCGCTCTGGGGTGGTGACCCCATCTCCTTCCCTCTGCCCAGGACTCAGGAGCTCAGGCACCTATGCACTTTCCATTTCCTCTATGTCACACCCCTAGCCCAACCCACAAGCCACAAAACGCGTCACACAGGGCCAGTCATCTGAGCACCTCGGGAGGCATGGGCTGGCTGAGAAAGGATGCCAGACCTGAGCGAAACTGGGCTTCTCCAGGTTCTCGGACTTGGTTCCCTCTGGGCCCATATCCCTCCATGGCCCAAGAGGAGGCGGAGGTGAACATCTGTGAAATCTCCCTACTTAAATATTGGGGAGTTGGGGGGCACCTGGTTGGCTCCGTTCCTAGAGGACGTGACTCTTGGTCTCCAGGTCTTGAGTTCAAGTCCCGCACTGGGTGTAGAGCTTACTTACCTACATAATACATACATACAGACATACATAGTGGGGACTCCCTCAGCCTCCCTCTCTCCTTCCCTTCCCTCATTCATTAATCCCTTCCTTCCTTCCAGTGCTCTTCAAACTGTGGGTCATGAGCAAACCATGCATTGTGAAATGACTTTTGTGGATCTTACTGTTTTTTTTACTTAACTTTATTGAGACACATATCCATGTAATGAAGTTTACTCTTTTTAGGTGCACAGTCTGGTGAGTTGTGACAAATGTCTGCCATGTGTGTAAATGACTGTACACCACCCTAAGCAAGATTTGGGACATTTCTGTAACACCCCCATACTTCCCTGGTGCCCCTTTCTTATCAATCCTTCTACCTATGACTTGAGGGGCTCTTGACCAGACTTTTAAAAAAACAAAAATATAAAATAGGACATCATTTTAAAAAAATCATGAAGTCAAAGAAAATACTGTTTTGTGGAAACACTGCTTATACCTAGTGAATACATATCAGGTCACAGAGAAAGCGTATTTTTGACTGTAGACCAAGTGTAAAGGTGTGTGAGAGATGCTGCTTTGGACGTTTATGAAATGAGGTCATGCATGGAAGTTACTGAGTGCATTGTCTGACACCGACTGAGCACCTAATAAATGGTAGCTATTATCACTAGTATAACTAATTATTGTGGGTGTTCGCTCTGTGCCTGACACTGATGAAGTTGGGAGACAGGCCCCAGCCCTGGGCTAGCTCCCAGTCTATCCTGTACCCCTTTCTCATGGGTCTGTGCCATCTGGTTGCCCAATCTAAGACTGGACACCAGGAGACCAGATGTGCTAGAGTGTTCTGAGCCGGGGGTGGGGATGGGGGTGAGGAATGACTGTGAAGAATGCTAGGAATCCAGCTTGGTGGGCAGAGGAGTGGGCCTAGAGTTTTAGCAAGTCATAAGCACTGTCACCGGTCATGATCCTTCTCACCGTCTAGTCCAGATCCTGTTCCAAATTCTGGCATCCTATCACCCCGAACCGGGGGGGCGCTCAACCTCGTGATTAAATAAGTGAGAGAAAGGAGTCCAGGGTCAGACAATAGGGCGTGGTGGGGACTGGGGCTAATTGGAACAAGTATTTTTCCTTCTAGAGGCATACAAACTCCAGATTAAACGCTGTGTGGCCAAGAATCTTTGTGACTATCTCGAGGGCTGCCTTTGGAGACCCCTACCCTAGGGCGCAGGGACGGAGAAGGCCCCACCTGCATCTTCCAGACCACATATCCCTACCTCCACCTCTACCAGGTCTCCTGAGGGACCAAGGGACTCCCTCCTCTCTAGGTTCCTGGAAAAGCATTCTGGGCCTCCTTCCAACCCTGCCTCTGGTCCCTGCTCCCCTGGATAGGGGAAAAGGGCCTCTTTTTTGGGGGGAGGGACAAGGGTCTCTTAAAATTGGAGGGTTCACCCACACCTCTGATGGAGGGTGAGAAACAGAGGTAAAAAGAGATACAAACAGAGACAGTAAGACTCAGCT